CATTGCAGGTTCTTCTATCGGCCACTGCTAATGTATACATTTGATAGTATCTAAGAAAATAGCATATATTTGATAAATTGACTACTTCAGTAAGCCTGACAAAAATATCTTAATCAATAAAAAATATATTTTAAAAAAAACAATTCCATTGCAGAAAGTTCTATCGGCCACTGCTAATGTATACATTTGATAGTATCTAAGAAAATAGCATATATTTGATAAATTGACTACTTCAGTAAGAAGCCTGACAAAAAGTGCTAGGGTATTCCTTTCCTCCTGAATTCTGACAAAGCAAAACAAAGGAGAAGGCTGGGTGTGGTGGACTCTGTCTCCTAGAATTTTACACCCGAGGCTGTAAAAGGGGAAAAGACTGAAAAAGAAAAGTTATTCATTGTGCAAATGTCACAGTGCAACTGATAAGAAAAGACATAGATAATCTGTGAAGGTAAGATACATACAAAATTTGGTCATCTGTTGGTTTAACATATTTATAGAGAACTTACTGTATGCCAAAGACAGAATGAACAAGAGGGTGGACTGTGGAAAGTTAAGAATTCCAACATCCAGATAAAGCCAATGTTCAGAAAAATTCTAAGAATAATAAAAGAGGCATTTCCCAATTAACTCAGAGAAATTAGACCAAAAGGAAAGCCTGGCCTGAGATTTGATACATTGTGTGACAACGTTAGTGTAGGGAAGAAAGCAGTGTTGTCTTTCAGTTTATTTCCTCCTCCATCCAGGAGCACCATCTAAATGGAAAGCTTAGACCAGACCTGGTTAGGAGGGAATTGAATCCTGAGATAGGCAAGGAGATAGCGGCAAGTGCATCAATACTTTAAGTGACTGAGTCAGGAGGACCAGGGGCAGATGATCTGCCTCTTTCTATTGGGAGAAGGTGGTCATTGTTGGTGCTGTGCTGTACATCTTTGTGATGTGGTGACAGGACCCCAGGCAACACCTCTCAGCAATAGCCAAGGTCCATGGTGAGGACCTTAAGGCTTGGTTGTGCCGAGCAGTGCAGCACAGGTGTGCAACCCACATGTAGTGCTCAGACTTAGCCTCTCAGAGCCAGAGGTTCCTTGGAGATCAGGGCTTCAGTGATGGGAGGGACTGAGGCTGCCTGGTTTGCAAGTGCACCAGGCTAGTCTGGTGAATATATATGGGGCAGGGGTGATTTTTATAGAAACCTTTATTTCCTAGTACTGTCCCTTTTAAGGGTCAGTCTTGCCACCACTGAGGTAATGCAGGAAGAGAAGGCAGAATCAGTTGCCTGTTTGACCTTAGGCCAGCCATGGTTTTCTCAGTAAAATGTGGACCTTGGTACTACAAGGTGCTGGTATGAGGATTACATAAAGCAACGAACACTAGGGTAGATTCTAGCTCAGCGGTTCTCAATCTGTGGGTCGCGACCCCTTTGGCGGTTGAACGACCCTTTCACAGGGGTCGCCTAAGACCATCCTGCATATCAGATATTTACATTACGATTCATAACAGTAGCAACATTACAGTTATGAAGTAGCAACGAAAATAATTTTATGGTTGGGTCACAACATGAGGAACTGCCAAAGGCACACAATATCTTAATTTCTTTGTAGGATTTGAAGGAACTCTCCAGCGTGTAGCCTTGTGTTAAGTGGGACAGAGGGTGACAGGAGAATGAGCTGCAGCTGTGCCCAGGGTGCTGAATAATGGATTCCTGTCCACAGGGAGCAAAGTCTCAGGTGCCTCCGATAAAGCGCCATGTCCTTGGCTCCTGGTCCTTCCGCGCTCGGGTAAAAAATGCTTCCCAGCTCTGAGGATGAAACAAGTCAGCCATCACTGAGTCAAGAATTTAAAAACCTGCGAAGCTGGAAGTCTACGGAAGCACTGGAACGAATTCAGAGTCCGGACCTGGGTGGGAGGGGCGAGGCTGGCGCACAGAACGGGGACGCGAGTGCCCTTAAGCGGGGACCTCGCTAAAAACGCTCCGAGTCGTACCACCGTCCAGTTGAGGTCGGTGTCAATTACCGGGAGAAGGGAAGGAGCCCGGCCGGGAGCGTGAGGGTTCCCGGGTACGCAGGCTCTGGAGAGCCGCTGGTGAGGCCTGGAAGAGCGCGCGGTGACCCGACCTGAGGAAGCGGGTGGGGACAGGGACTGGAAAACCCTGAGAAGCGCAAGGGTATCCCATACACGTTCTCCCCTCGATATCCTACGCTTTCACGCCTTTTTTGGGTGCAGGAATTAAACGTGCCCGAGCGGAGCCCCTTCCTCCCCTCATGTGCGCTCTGCAAGGCTGACGCAAGCGGTACCCAAAGGCCGCTGGCCCCCAGAGCAGCTTGATTCTGGCGTTGCCTGGCAACGGGGCCGCGAAGGGATTGGCAGCGTCAGGCCCCGTGACCTTCCCGGAGACTCGCACTTCCTGTTTCCCCCAGAAGTGACGTAACTGTAGGCCACGCCCCCAGCAGAGGCGGAAGTGGAGCTACCCCGAGGCGCCCCGGGACTGGCCCAAGCCCCGGCCCACCCGTGGGCGCGGCACTGCCGGACCAGAGCTTCCTGTGGAACGTCTTCCAGAGGTGAGATCGGGCGCGCGGGCACTTAGGGGAGTCCGCCGGCTTCCGCTCCTCTTCCCGGCCTCCTGCCCCATCCCCCCCGCCGGACTGCACTCGGGCCACCCCCGGCCTCTCCGCACTCTCCTGCTCCATTTTCCACCTTCTCCTCTTCCCCGTGTCTCCCGGTCTCTGCTCCGCCTCCCCCAGCCTTCCTCCTGCCCCCCGCCCCCTTCTCCCCCCCCCCCCCCCACCTTTCCCCTGCTCACTCCCCTCCTGTCCCACGCCCTGTGTCCCATTTTGTCTCAGGGCTTCTCCCTCGCCGCGGGCCCCTCCTTCGCACCGGCCCCTCCCGAGGTGTGGCGCCTTCCGTAGACTCCCTGGAGCTCTGCCTTCACCCCCTACCCCCTAACAGCCGAGTGCCCGCAGTTGAGGGGCGGGTTCTTGCTCCTCCGGGACAGTCTCCTGGCGATGCTAGTTTTAGATAAACAGAAACAAGACTCTGCTCCAGCGCTATTAAAATGCCAGCAGACAGGAAAGAAGCTGGAACGTGATGGCCGCCGGGACAGGTGATCTTTTACCTGGGCTCCTTCTGACCATGGCCGTCCTTTCGGTGAATGAGGAAAAGTGAGTGACTCATAGTCACGGAATGACTTGATTGAGAGAAAGGAACAAGAGAGAAACTGGTGCAGGCATAACTCAGGTCAAGGGATAATCAAAGAGAAATACCTGGGAAAGGAAAACGAGAGTGAAAAAATGACTAGGCCACTTCGGGGAGAACCGACGTGGGCTTGAGCAGGTGGAGTGCCTCCGCTGGGTGAAGGAGCTCCAGAGCCTACTTAATCCCCAGCAGAACAAAGTGGGAGGAAGGAACATGCCAGAATTAATGCAGGGTGGTCAGTGGGGGTAAACGTTTGTGCTCGCCATGTTTTGCTTTTCATACCCTGTTAATCACCAGCTGAATTGGTCTTCATTTTGTAGGGTTGATAAAGACAGAAGCGGGGTGATATCCGACAATGAGCTTCAGCAAGCACTCTCCAATGGTGAGTGGGACCTGGCCACCAGGACTTCTGCACTGCAAGCCTGACACACCTGTTATTATTGGCACGTGGTGGAGGTGCTTCTGATTTATTTTGCCAAGCGGTTTCTTGGTTGTTGTCAGTGCCACTCCAAATGCCTTTCGGAACAACTGTGTGGATGAGCATAGGGAAACGCTGGTTGAGAAATGCGGGTTGGAGGGTAGGTTTTTGGGAGGGATAGGAAGTTTAGCTTTCTACAGATATCCTTCAGGTGTCTTGAAAATCATTGAATTTCTTAGGTAATCTTTTCGACCCTTCTGGAGAGGATTACAAAGGTCCCAGAGGCCACCGGACTGTGGGGAGGTGGTCTTGTCAGTGGCAGAATTATAGGCATTCAGCTAGGGATGAGGGTTACAGCCCTTGTGGGTGGTGTATTGCCAGCTCTCCATGGAGTTGAGTTCTTGCCCATTTCAACTTGATTAATTGGGGAAGTACTATTAGAGTTACACTAGCCCAGTAGAAGACAGGGTTAACTAGAGAGATATCCAGAGCACTGAAAACCAGCAGGCTACAGTCTGGCAAATCCTGGGTTAAAACTTCCTAAGTGTTGACCAAAATGGGTGATTTCTTCACATCATATGTTAATTGTGATCAGATGTTACAGATGTTGTCCACCATAGTGAGAGTGCCCTACTGGCTAAGGCGTTTCTTTTGAGCTTTTTTGCAGTGAGTGAGGACTGATTTGTGATCCATTTGGACATCTCCTTTTGTTCATTTGCTATAAGTTTTGAGAGTGCGGCCCAGATTTGTGTGAAATCTGTTTAATTGAGAGTGATGGTCAAATACTCTAAATTGCTGGAAGGGGTGGGCTCGATGGCGTCACGGGGTCAGCCTGCTTGGATTCAAGTCCTGGTTTTACCACTTCTAGGAATGTGGCCTTGAGCAAGGACTTGACCTTTCTGGATCTGTGTCCCACAGTTAATGGGCCGGTAAATCAAGAAAATGCATGCAGAACACTGGTGTGAGCCTGGCACAAAGCAAGGCCTCAGTGTTGTTGCTGGGATGAGGAATAGTGGTGTTACTGCCACTGTTACTGGCCAAAGAGCCAGCTGGAGTCTTTGATGGCTTTTCTTTTCCTAATGACTGTGATGATGATGGTTATCACCTACTGGACATCCACTACACGTGGGCACAGCGCTGGTGCAGAGCAGGGCTGCCGCTCACATTCCATCTCAGGTTTACTGCTCAGTCAGGCCCTCGCTGAGCCTGGTGCTTTCCCACCTGTCTCTCCTGTAGGTGACCACCTACCTAATGCTTCTAGTGCCTGGAGTCTCTGCTCCTTCTGTTTAGAGTGCCGGCCTCTCCTGGCTGTGAGGTGGTCGCCACCCATCCCACCAGTCTTCAAACCCCTTTCCTCCCACATCAGTGGGTGCCCCCTTTGAACAGCATTTCTTTTTCTTTTATGTGTTCCTTTCTCTCCTGCTCCTATAAACATTTTTGTAGCTGTCTCCTAAATGAGGGCCAGTGGGTTACTGGGTAGACAATGTCAGTTCTTTTCACTCCTCCTTGAGTTCCTGTAGCTGATACAATAGAAGTTATTTTCAGTTTTGATTTTTCTCCCAGGAATGGGCTTTTTTTTTTTTTAATATATATTTTATTGATTTTTTTTTTTTACAGAGAGGAAAGGAGAGGAATAGAGAGTTAGAAACATCGATGAGTGAGAAACATCGATCAGCTGCCTCCTGCAAACCCCCTACTGGGGATGTGCCCGCAACCAAGGTACATGCCCTTGACCGGAATCGAACCTGGGACCCTTTGGTCCGCAGGCCAACGCTCTATCCACTGAGCCAAACTGGTTAGGGCAGGAATGGGCTTTTGTTTTCATATTAGAACTGGACTTTGGGCTATTTCAGAAAATCATTTTTATTAGTTTATTGCTGGTGGGAAACAAATTACAGAACAGCATAGCCTCTCACTTTAGTTAGACCTGTGGTTTGGCATGCTCTCTGTTAAAGTCGAGCTGAAACCACCTTGGAAAAGGGCTTTTGTAGGTCCCACACACTGAGTCCTTTGTACAAAAGCCTCCAAAAATGACTGCTCTCAGGACGTGTGTGGTCAGTGGGTTTGAAGAGAGAGAAGGCTGTTCTTGTGCCTTCGTTTTAAAATAACCTTTCACAAACTATCTTGACTTTTAGGTGTTTTTTTTAAATTTGCTCTAGTCCCTTTTTTGTGCTTTAAGGTTTGCTTTAACATAAGATATTGATGTTTTTTGAGGAGGCATTTTTAGCTATGCTATAAAAAATAGTAATTCATGTTTTTAAGGTATTTTTACCAAAATAGAGTTCCAGCTATCTTGAGGAGCCCATATTTGAAGAAATGAGACCATCCTAGCAGATAGGCCCGACATTGCATCCCTCTCCTGCCCCAGCCCAGTGTCGTGGGTGATGGTGCTTGTTGCCCAGACGCAGCAGAGGGAGTGAGATTCTCCCCAGCCCCATCTGTCTGCATGGGGGTGAGGCTGACTCAGCAGGCTGTTACTCAGAGCCTACACGTTCCCAGGAAGGGTCTGTTGGATGATGGCTGCCTCTGGAATGTTCTGACTGTTCAGAGTGTTTTGCCCACTGAAGGCCTTGAGCGCATTGCATCCATTTGCTTGGATAATTCACACTGAGAGTTTGGGGATGGCAAGCACCTGTCTTCTCTTGGCATCTGGAGCTTCCGTGACTGATCCCCAAAAGAAACCCCGGACTCCCAGGCTCAGGGGAGCTTCCCTGGTGGACAACACTTCATGTGTGTCGTCAGCTGTTGTCCTGTGTGAGTTCACGGGGGGCTCTGGAAGCAGTGCCTGGTCTCCCCCAGACTTGTCCTCATGCCTTTCCTGGTCTTACTCTCCGTCCTTTTGCTCTAACAAACTGACCATGAATGTTGTCATCCTAGCTAGTTGTTGAGCCCGAGAGAGGTCTGGGGACCCTCAGTACGGCCTGTCACATCTGCTCTTCCTAGAAACCCACCAGTTTCAGATAGAAACAAGGAGGGTTGGACTTGGGCAGGTCACAGCATTCCTGGTCTCTGTCTTTGGGTGTAAAAACAGGACGACTGGAAGTTGAGATCCCTTTTCCCCTCCAGCCAAGCCCATCTCCACCAACTCCCACCCTGCCTGGTCCAGAACTGCAAGACACTGTTGGATCTACCGGAGTGGAGTTTACAGTGTTCACCTTAGACACTTGGATTGTTTTCATTTTCATTAATGTAACTACTGCAGTGATTGGACCCAGAGTTTCATAGAACAGGTTTCTAGAAGGGGCATTTATCAGATCAAAGGGTGTAGGCATTGTACTGTTGGTCAATCTTCAGATGGCTTTTCAGAAAGGCCATATTTCCAGTCGTAGCTATTTGAAGATGACTGGTGAAATGTGGGATTTTGCTGAACCTGAAGAGGCACCAAAGTCCTCGCAAACCATGTGTTGAACCGCATCTGGACCCTGTGGTGCTTCCACCCCCTCCTCACAAGTTCCTCTGGCAAAACAGCCCAGGACAGCTGGACTCTGGGTCTGCTGTAGGGAAGCGCAGAGATCGCCAGTGATGATGGGAAGTCTGTTTCCCCCAAAAAAGATTCCAAGTACTTGGGTGTTTCAGTTGTTCCTATGCAAGATGTTATAAGGACTTAACCCTTCACCATCTCTAAAGTCTACATCAACCAAAATTTTTGGTAAAGAGGACATAATTTCAAGAAAGAAAACTCTTTGGAGAGTAAAAAGACAGAATATTTTATCCCAGAGCAGAGTGGGATTTCCCCTGTTGAGAAGGGAGCAGACATAAATTCCTAAACTCATTTATGTATTTGGAGTTTAAGTGGGAAAATGCTGAAGCCCCCAATGATGACTGACCGACCACCCCGCCGATGGCAGCGTGTTCCGTAAGCACACCATTCGTGCAGCATTGCTTCTTAAGGTTTTAGTCCTGTTCCCAAATTATCGGTGAAATGTTGAGTATTCACCTTACAGGGGAAATAATAGTATGTTTCTATTTTCTTTGGTTGAGATGAAGTTGAGACAAGACTTATACAGTGAACTTACATTTCTATGGAAAAGTCTGACAGGAAATCTATTGCTTCAATTATTCCTGGACACGGTGGTTACTGGGAGGAGCAGATGGGAATGTTTGAATTTGCAGCTGGCCCAGGAAACCTGGGATAGAGGCTCGCTGGAGGAGAAGGGCTTGTGGACAAAACCCACCTATAGATGTGTCCTCTGCTTTCAGCAAGTGCTGTTGGAATTGCTTTCTTGGCATTGCAGTGTGATTTCCTGCAGAAACCTGTTTAGGTTTTCAGGCCGACGCTCAGGTGCATTTAATGCTTAATATAACCAAAATGCAAAATGTCTGCACATTGCGTTTAGGCTTCATTGTGGGTTGGTAAGCTTTGATGTTGCCTGGGAACCAGGCCACAGAACTAGCACGCAACAAGGAGTCAATTACCTGTTGGCTGTTGTTATTGCCCCTGGTTTCTGTAGAGCAGTGGTTCTCAACCTTGGCTGCACATTAGAATCACCTGGGAATCTTTTTTAAATCCTGATTTCTGGGCCTCATCCTCCAGAAATTCTGTTTCTTTGTTATGGGGTGGGGCCACGACATTAGTAACAAAGAAACAGAATTTCAGGAGGATGAGGCCCAGAAATCAGGATTTAAAAAAGATTCCCAGGTGATTCTAATGTGCAGCCAAGGTTGAGAACCACTGCTGTAGAAAGTTAGGTCCCATTTGGTTAACAAGGACGAATGGATGTCTATAGCCTTGGCTCCACCTTCCAGGTCTCGTCATTGATTCAGCCCCAGACCCTCCAATCCTCAGGCTCCCCAGCACAGTTGGGTCCCCTGGGCCTGCCTCTCTGAGGTGCGCCATCTGTGCACTCACCACGAGAGTGCCTGTTTGCAGCCTTATTTAATAGTTTACTTGTACTGCTCTTGTTTAACACTTATTCCCCAAACCATTTGCTGACGGCCGGGGTTGATGTGCGCAGTTGGGATGGACTGTGGGTGCAGCCTCATCTCTGAAACCCCTCCAGCTCTGCATAGTCAGCTCAGTTTAGCCCAAACTCACAACTCTTCCCCTATGGCCACTTAGTCTGCATCAGGTGGAGGGAACAGGGCGGAAGGAAGGGATTCCAGTGGGTGCCTGTGGTTTCTGGCTTCTGGTCAGTGAAGGGTTATCTTCTGTGAAAACCAGTTCAGTGCCTGGAGCCACTAAGGGAGGGAGGGGACAGCAGGCATGGGTGAAGCAGTGAGAGTCCCCTGTATGTGGAATTTTCCTCTAACATAGTTTTCTTTTTATACTGGTTTCCAATAATACTGACTTTTCCTCATACCTTTCTATACATACTCCTGCCTACCTTCCCCCCAAAGGTCTGTGACACCTGCACACAGGTGCTCTCCAGCACTCATGTGTGTCATGCCCGGGGACAGGTGGCCCCTATTCTCTTGGGAGGACTGGCCTTGTTGGAGTAATGGCCATTGCAGGTGTCAGAAGGGGCAGTCAGAGGTGCGGGCAGAGCATATGGAGTTATCTTAGCGACCTGGAGTGGGGCATTCAGCGAAAGCTCCCTGAGGAAGCATTTCACCCAAGGCTTAAAGGGGAGGTAGGAGTTGGGTGGAGGGTGTGCATGCATTTGGAGGGTTACATGTGAGGGTGAGAGAAGCCTGCACAAGCCCTGAGTTGGGTGGGAGTGGCACTTGGGAGGTGCTGCAGAGCCCAGTGTCCCTGAGTGTGAGCCATGGCACCTGCAGACTCTCCAGCCCTCTGCAGCTCAAAGGTCGGGAGTGGCTCTCTATGTCCCACCCAGAACTGAAACAGTTGTGTGTGTGTTTGTGTATGTGTGTATTTTTTAAAGGGTTCTTTTTATACAAGTGGGGGATGGGCAGAGATACTGCTTTCCCCACATTAAAAACATTTTTGACTTTGTTTTTACTGAGTGTAAAAATCAATGAAGGTACAAATCGCTCTCTCTTACTTTAGTTCCTGTTTGTTTTCAGGCACCTGGACTCCGTTTAATCCTGTGACTGTCAGGTCAATCATATGTAAGTAAGGGCGCCGGTGTCCTGCCTGTGCAGGCAGACAGGGGTGGGCTGCTGGTGCAGGGTGTGCTTCCTGCCTTATTCTCCCCCAACTCCAGTCAGGTGTGGGCCTTCATCCCGCCCTTCTGTCCCCTCACTGACTCTTTACTGTCAATTTACGTCTGATCGTTCCTTCCAACCCTGAAGATTTCATGAACACACCCGACTGCACGCCCCACACGCAGCCCTTGTCCTGTGTAACCACTGACTGGAGCCATCCCCAGATTTTTTATTACATGAAGCTTCACTGAATGTAGTGTACTTCTGACCAGACTGAGAGCATTCAGGCTATAGGCTTCCATCATCGCCTTGCCTGAAGAGACACCAATGATTTATCATTTTTTTATGGCAATAATTCAGACAGTTTTTATATCATATATTTTAGCCATTTTGCAAATTTTTTAATAGATTTTTTAAAAATCCTCACCTGAGGAGTAAGGATATATTTTTTCCCATTGATTTTAGAGAGAATGGAAGGGAGGTGGGAGAGGGGAGAGAGAGAGAAACATCACATCAATTGGTTGCCTCCCACATGGGCCCTGACTGGGGGCAGGGATCGGACCTGCAATCCAGGTATGTGCACTTGACTGGGAATCGAACCTGAGACCCTCTGTTGTGCAGGCTAATGCTCTAGCCACTGAACTACACCAGCCAGGGCAGCCATTTTGCAATTTTATGTAAGTGTAGTGGTAGTTCTTTTGTATTTGGACCTGGAATTGGGATGATTATTTTAAAAAATGAAAGGCAGTTCTAAGAAAACATTAAAGCCAGTAGAATCTCTTTCTCATTGAGTGACCTCCGCTGGAGGATGTTGGTCCTGGGAAATGGAGGGGGCCCCATGTTCTAGGCCCAGAACTAGGAGCTGGGAGTAAGGGGCACTTAGCTCTGGCATCTTCAGAGCACCCGCAAGTGGTCGTGCTTCTGTAGAACCTACTTCAGTGTAAAGAATCCTTTTAATTGTGGCTCTAATAGTGTGTTTTGCTTCCATTTTCCTTTTCATGGGGGGCTGTGGCTGGGTGACAGGCCCCCTGCCTCACCAGAGCTGATCTTGCCCCTGACTCAGCCAATGAGCATGATTAGCAGCACTCAGGGCTCTGCTGGCTGAGTCCATGCTGGGGAGGTAACTGCTGCCGCTGTGCTTCTTGCTGATTAACATCGAGATTCCATTCATTGGGCACCACTTATGCTCCTTTTTTCCTCAGCAATGTTTGACCGTGAGAACAAGGCTGGTGTGAACTTCAGCGAGTTCACGGGCGTCTGGAAGTACATCACAGACTGGCAGAATGTCTTCCGCACCTACGACAGGGACAACTCGGGGATGATTGACAAGAACGAGCTCAAGCAAGCACTTTCAGGTTTTGGTAATTCACTTACCTTGATTGTGTAGCATGTTTCATTTTGGAACCTAGGTACCATTGAAGTTCTTTTGCTTTGTTCAACTGACTGATTTTTTAACCCAGTCTCTGTGAAATTTTTGTTTACATTACACCGACTTATATTTTGTTATTATTGGAGGAGACTTTTATGCATCTTTTAAATGCAGTTTTTCATCCAAAATGAGATAGGGGCTATGCAATCGTTTATCTTTTGTGAATTGAAATGACGTCACAAGCACATTGAGAATGTAGCTTTGAAACAATTTAAAGTAAGTGAAAAAGATAGTGTAGGGTAGCATATATTTCATGAAACATCAAAATACACAGAAAGATGATAAAATACCCATAAGTGACGATTCCCTAAGCTCTAGCGCATATCGAGGGCCTCAGGTAGAACATTAAAGTCAGCGCGAGCTCCCGGCCTCAAGTGCGTGTCAGGGTGTGCGTGTGCCGTGCCGTGCCGTGAGGAGTGTGCACATGGTACCTTTCCAGAGTGGGTCAGTGGGCCTCTGATGTATCTGAGGGAAGTTGGGATTTTTTTTGTAGAGGAAAAACTGAAATGTTGGGGTCTTGTTCAAGGTTTGAAGTTACACTGAGATTCTAATTTGAGACAATTTTACTTGGCTCAGTGTTCACTGGGCCCAAATTACAGAACCCCATCTTTGTTTTTCTTAAAAGGCTGCTTATAAATGCCTTCCCGAGAGGAAGGGAGGGGCAGAGTTAGAAACATCGATGAGAGAGAAACATTGATTCAGCTGCCTCTTGCACGCCCCCTACTGGGGATGTGCCCGCAACCCAGGTACATGCACTTGACCGGAATCGAACCTGGGACCCTTCAGTCTGCAGGCTGACACTCCATCCGCCGAGCCAAACCAGCCAGGGCTCTATGTTTTTCTTAAAAGGCTGCTTATGAATGCCTTCCCAAAGAAAATAAAACTTAGATTATAATGTACTATTTTCTAGGTGTTTCGAGTTTTATAGTATGGTTAACATGGTCCTGCCCGCTCCATTTTTCTCTGGTCATGTACACTATGACTGTCTTCTCTTTCTATCGCTTTCTTTTCTTGCCTTAGGAGCTCAGACATAGTACCAGGTGGAGGCTGTCTGATGGCACAGGGAGGCTGTTTGGAGCTCACTAGGTGTGGTCAGAGTTTGGGCAAGGCGTGGACCTCAGGTTCTTAGAGTTGGAACTCAGAATGCAACTAATCTTGCTCTGCCCTTAGGTGGGAGAGTGATGGGGGCCTAGGGAAGGAGCCAGGGGCCTGCAGGCTGGGGAGAACTTGGGAGGAGCCCAGATCCTAGGAGTGATTCCTAGTCCTGTGACCTCAGGTATATCACGGCACACAGAACTGCATTTTCTAACCTGGCGAGGCCCAGAGCCCTCTTTTTACTTAGTGCTGTGACCACCGGGTCCCTGGAGCTCCTGGTGGAAAGACTCTCAGGCCTCCCAGTCGGGGTCAGACCCAGGGTGTCTGCAGCTGCGGCGGAGCTGCGCAGAGACCCCCGTCGGGGCTGGCAGGCCCTCCTGTCGGCGCTGAGATCCTTCCTGACTGCTGAGTTTTTTCTGGAGAGTAAATACTCTTTCGCAGCATTTCTTCAGTTATTCCAGAAAGTTTCTTCCTGTGATTGGTTCTTGATTTTTTTTTTCCTAGGGCTTCTCCAAAGCCTTGTTTTCTGTGAAAGGAACATTGTCATCATTTTCCCATGTTGATTATTTTGGAAGATTTTCTGTTGTAACTTAGGAAATGTGCCACAGAAGCAAAAAATTCCCTTCAGTCTTGACCCCTAAGAATAAGTATCTTGCCTTGCGTCAGAGGGGGATGATTTTAGCTCAGCAGAGGCTTGAGGGAGTCGGGGTTGAGCACTTCGGTGCCCTCTGACCTTTGTCAGCTCCATGGGGGTGTCCAGGCCAACCTTGGCAACGCTGTGTGACTGACTAGCACACATTCTGGATTTGATAGTCCATTCGTTTAAAAATTTTTATTAGTAGGTGCTATATGCCATGAACAGAGACGTGGAAAGGAGAAGGTGCACGAGGCCCAGCCCTCACTCTCGCCAGCGCGAGGTGGAGTTTACTCAGCACTACAGGCCTCGGGGGCAGCTCCGCCGGGCCCAACTCCCCTTTCCTCCGCACGGCCCTGGCAGCCACTGAGCCAGTGCAGTGTTTATTATGAAAACTTTGTGAAAGTGTAATGAACCTTGAACTTATCACTGGTTTCCATCTTTTTGCTGCATTCCCCCCTCCATTTTATGCTAAAGCAGAAAGGTGCTCAGCCACAGGTCAGGGTGAGGCACTGTGCCAGCACTCCAGGTTTGAAGGGCGGCCAGTCCGACCAGGGCCCCAGGCTGTGGGGGCAGGGCCATGAGCAGAGGGCACCTCCTTCTAGTTATTGTTACTTGGGTTTTCACTGGAAGGACCTCGTAGAGAACTGACTGCTCCCAGATTTTGGCCTCTCGGATAAATATTCTTTCCATGGCTTGTACATCATTTATTTTTCTAGTCTGACTTCCTTCACTTTTGTTTTCCCTGCAGTAATATTGAGGACCAGGGACACTGGGAGTTAATGCCAGGGGTGACGCAAGTCGCTTCCCTTGTCGTGGATTGTGGAGTTACTGTGTCATTGTTACTATCTTATCTGTCCTTCCAGTCGGGCAGGAGACCATTGCACCCTGAAGGGCACGGCCTTGTCACTGTGTCCTAAGTTCAGCCCTCACCAGCCTTGGCCGGTCTTACCTGACCACAGGCACAGGTGCTGGTGTGAGGAGATGAGAATCAGAGGGGCAGGAGGAGTGGCAGCTGTCGCTTTCTGACTAAGTCGGGCATCCAGTCTTCTACTCAGCTTGCAGGGAGGGGGGCCCTGGATGTAAGTCACAGGCGTGCAGAGCACACTGGCCACTCAGAAAGGTACCATCACATGCTTGCATGTTTGAATCTTTTCCAGTAAAGTGTTAAGTGTTCATACAGGTAATTAACTGTGAAATTCACTCAGACAGTGGGTGTACATTTTCTTGCAAAGACTGCAGCAAGACTGAAAATCAGTAAAAATATTTTGGCACCTGGATCTTGTCTCCTGACTAAGTAAGGATACCGTGGTCATACAGGTAGTGGGATGACGAGGGGAGGAAGGGGAAGGCAGTAGGTGTCCTGGTTTAGTTGGCCCCCAGGGGTGTCCCCCGTCTTCAGAGCCACCTTCCTGCTGGAGATCTTTTCAAGACACATTTGTAAATTGAAAACAGAATCGGTGACCCTCTGCGTAACATTGGATGAACCTGTAGTGGTTTTGAACTTTGTGAGGCTACCTTACTCCTTGTAATGTTCAATTTCCTAATCAGGTCATTTCTATGGGGAAATACCTATCACTGAATCTGTTTCCTTAGGCTTACATTTTGTTTAATTGGAAGATGTCAGTGATATTTTATCTTTCAAAATGAGATTCTCTAGTGATGAGTTAACCCAGGGCAGCTGAATTATTCAGAACTTTCATGTCTAGGTTAATAAATGTAATAAAATCTGTTGGTAAAGGGCTTTAAAAAAATCCTCACCAGAAGATATGTTTTTATTGATTTTAGAGAGAGGAAGGGAGAGAGAGAAAACATCAAAGTGACTGGGAAATAGTGACCAGTTGCCTCCCATGAGTGCCTTGACTGGGGATCGAACCCACAACCTTCTGGTGTATGGGATCATGCTCCAGCTAGCTATAGGGCTTTTCAAAATGATCACTGCGCTGCATTCAAGAAACAGGTCCTGGCTGCCCTGTGGGGTGGTCTGTAGGGTAGCCACCTTCCGGAGTTCGGGTGTGATGCGAACTAGTGAGTTCACGGGATCCTTCAACTGGCAGTGTGGTCCTGCCTCCAGTTACTCCTCCCCTCCAGGGAGATGCTCTGGCCTGCCAGCAGTGTCACCACTGAGTGACTCGCGTAGCTTACAGTGCATTGGAATAAATGTGTGCTGTGTGTTCCCTCCCCAGCCCAGACCGCTTATCCTGAGCTGTGATAAGAGGCATGTGTCTGAGGCGAGCGGGGCACTGGAGGAAGCGCCCTCCCCTGGCACGCTGTTTACTCTGATTCCCTTTCAAGGCTACCGGCTCTCTGACCAGTTTCATGACATCCTCATTCGCAAGTTTGACAGACAAGGACGGGGACAGATCGCCTTTGACGACTTCATCCAGGGCTGCATCGTCTTGCAGGTAATTGGGCTCCGAGGAGAGAAAGGGAAGGGCCATTCTGGAATTTGGGATTTAATGGAGTCAGACACGTATAAAATTAGTTCCTGGATCTTCTAAAAGTTAGTCTTGTCTCTGGAGAAGTATCTATGTTTTTCTGTTACACTGAGGTGTAAACAGTGGTGCTCTTCCTCCCCCTGCAAATATTATAAAGCAGTCCATTCAGAAGAGGTTGTTTTCCCATAAACAGTGGGTTATTTACTTGTTACTCTGCTATTTTTGTTGTATTTTCATTCTGAGGAAATGGGTAAACTTTGCATGTGGCCTTCCCTCTGTCCTGCCTACCTGTGTGAGGTGAGCTCTAAGTCCCCAACCTGGCTCCAAGCCCTTGGGTCCTTGTGCGGTGTTGGTGGAACTCTTGAGTTGCTGACCGCTGCCCGTCCCATTTCCCCACACCTTTCTGAGATGTCCATCCTACGGCCTCACCCTTTCCCTCCAAGAGAACTGAGTGCAGAGCTTAACGAGCTCACCCAGAGACACCCTCTTAAGACAGAAGAGTAATCGATCCTGTGCTGCTGTTCCCACCGTTTCTAGGTCCTGCTCCTGTTTCTAGGTAGGGATCCGAGTTCTATATATTTTAAGCTTTAGAACTAATAAACATACCTTTAAAATTTTTTATTATGACAAATTTTCCCCCAAAATAACAGTAGTAGAGACAACAGTAAAATGAACCCAATCTCTCAGATTCAACATTATCACCCATGGTCATTGAATTATGGTAACTGTAACCCCCACCCGGCATTATTCTGGAGCAAATTCCACTACGGGAAAGAGTGTTTTTCCATTAATATTTCAGTAGAGCCCATCTCTAGAAGATAAGTCATTGCAACTTGAATCCAAGTTGAGGTTCCATCTTGTCAGCTTTAGGATCCACTGAACAGCATGAGGTTTTTAATGTAATTTGGAATTTTTGAAAACATTCTCACATTTTTAAATTTTCCTGTTCAAATGATAGGTCAGTCAAAAGTGAAGTTTTTCTGATTTCTTTACCAGTGAATCTGGTGGGTTGGTCTCTCCAGATCCAGGTTTGTTAACTCTTACGCTTCAGATCTCCGGGACGGGAGAGCCTGCCCTCGTTCTGCCTCGGGGTCTGTGTGGCTGGGTGACGTGTTAGCAGTTTGAACACCCCAGGAAAGGTGCAGTGTAAAATCTCATTAGGGTCTGTATCTGATTGGCTTTAGAATAAGGACTTTCATTTGAGGTTATGGCCTGTAGTAAACATCTGATCTTTGTATTTCTGCCTAAGCAAAGGCTACTGCATATACTGGTA